CACCCCCCCGCCATCATCGCTTCCGCCCCGGATGGGAACCGATGGACTTTGCGTCTCAACCCAATCCCAGTCCCTGCCCGTTGCGCAATCTTGATCCGGTTTGCAGCTCGCCTTTGGGACGGGAACCCTTCCCAGCCCCCCCCGCTTCCTCTCCACACCAACAGGAAGAGGCTTCCCAGGGATTTAATTCCTGCAAGGAGCCCGTCCCGAAGCGCACAGCCGAGGAGAGTCCACAACCTCCGCGCAGGAAGCGCGAACCGAAGGCAGCGCAGCCACCGTGGGCGCTCTGAGAAGCCCTCCCCGGGCAAGCAGAGGCCCCTAGCTCACCGCGAGTGCGCCCGACAGCTGCTTCTCGCGAGGAGACCGCAGGGTTTCGGGGCTCTGGGAGAGGAGGGAAGAGCCATCTTTCTGCTCAACCAGGACGCTGGGTTTGCCTACTTCCTTTTCTTTCTTCCTTTTCGATTAATTTCATTTAAAGGTTTACAAAGAACATACAAGCTCACACACACTAATAGAGAGCAGAAGTAGCCAAGAAGAAGAAAGGAAAAAACAGAAGTGCAGAAAGAAAGAAGGAAAAGAAAGAGAAAGAAGCTGTCAGGAACAGAAATGACCTTTTAACAAAGCTTCCTGATGTTTAACACTTCACAAGGCTTTCTGATCTTTCATGATTAGGTTTGGAACCGGAATGTGCTTAAGGAGGGGGCCACATCAAGGTAAGACATGGGAATGAAAGATTATGAAACAAGTGTTGCCGTTTGTTAGCAAGAATGTGTGAATCAGGGAAGAAAGTAAGATAACAACACAAAGGGCAGTGATTTAGTGGAGACAGGAGGACCCTGGGCCTTGACACTGATCTCAGGGAACTTATAAACTGTGAATAAGAAAAGGGGGGTGGGTGGGAATCGTTGTATAGAAGAAATAATGTATTCATTTTAGGCGTCTCGGACAGGTTGTGAACTCGGATTAGGCCACCCCAGGGCAAAGACGAGGCAGGACCGATGCGACGTGTGAAGGGGTGCATAAAAACCTTGCTGAAATCTCTAATAACATGCTTCTTGCAGCCTGAGAACTGGATAGCATCAGCCTTTGCAAACGCTTGAGAATAAACTTTGCCTTTCCAAATCCAAGAAGGACTATTTGTGCAGCTTTGTCTCTCACAACTGGGGGCTCATCCGGGATCCTGAAATGGCGTTCGGTAAGTCCGGGGCTGCAAGCCCTCTCCTGGGAGGCGCCCACTGATTTCAGTAGCCGAGGGGGAGCTGTAACTTTGGATCCCGTCGCCCGTTAAAGGTGGTCTGGATTGGAAATAGTGGTTCGGAAGGGCAAACTGACTAGGGTGAGTTCCCGACCAGCATTTTCCCACCAAAAACGTCCGAGACCTGAAAATCGTGCACAAGACCAGGTAAGAAACACAGGCTTTCACCAAGTATTACCTGGGAGGTCGGGTAGGACTGGTGTGTGTGTGAGACTTGAATGACGGAGCGGTGCGAGACGCATTAGGGGACGCAGGTCCCTGAACGTGAGAAGCGAGAGCAGAGTCCCGATTTGGGGTTCCAGTTCTCTGCGAGGAGCCTGGCTAGAGACAGACAAAGCGATTGGTTTGGTTAAACATATGTGATTGAAAGTCTCAGTAAAGCCTTTAAATATCCAGTCAGGATGGGAAATAAAGCTAGCAAAAAGGGTCAGAAGGGAACTACTAAGTGTGAGGTTCCAGAGATCCCTGCAGAAAGCCCGTTAGGCAGGATGTTAAGTGGATGGGATGACCCACCACTGAAAAAGTATACCCTAGAATTAGAAAAAGAGAAAATGGTGAAATATTGTTATTTCGTGTGGCCCAAGAAACTGATCCAAGGGGATTCGGTTCATTGGCTGCGGTTTGGTACAACTGACTATTTTACACGTCAAGCACTAAAGGGATTTTTAAACAAAAATAAGGCGTCTGAACTAGAAAGATTTTATGCTAGAGTTTGGACCATAAGTCAGGAAGGAAAATGCTTTAAACTGGTGGCAGAGGATCAAGGAGAAGAGACAGAGGGGGCGGTCCCAGTAAAGAAATGGACCCCCCGGACCATTTACCTCCACCTTACAATCCACATTTAAATCAAGGGAACCAAATTCCAGCCGTTCCCCAGGCACCAATCCTCCCTCCTCAGCCCACATTACCACCCATAACCCCGAGACCTCCTGATGGCTATTCTCGGGAATTAAAAGCCTTATTAGATGATCTGAAAGACAGTGAGTTACTGGAATACAACCAAACAAGGAGGAGGAGGAGTTTAACCGATTACAAAAAAATGTTCCCCTTAAAGGAGGTGCCAAACGGCATAGATGCCAACGGAGCTCCAGTAATAAGTTATGTTCAAGACCCATTGAGCAGTTCAGAAGTCCGAGCTTTTAAATTGCAGATGAAAAGTTTGGTAGAAGACCCCTTGGGGGTAGCCGAGCAATTTGACGCCTTCCTAGGACCTAGCATTTATTCCTGGGAAGAGATGATGGCAATTTTAACAACTCTATTCACTAGCGAAGAACGCCAGTTGATCAGAGCCGCAGCCATCAGAGTTTGGGACAGACAAAACCCTACGGGACCAAACAATAACGCCCAAGGGGACCAGAAGCTTCCCATCACAAGACCCAATTGGCAAAATAATAATGACGCAGATCGACAGAGTATGAGAGATCTGCGAGCCATGATAGTGTCAAGAATAAAAGAGGCAGTACCCCCAAATCAAAATTTAACTAGAGCCTTCAGTTTAGAACAAGAAAAAGAGGAAGCACCAAGTGCCTTTTTACAGCGTCTTAAGGACAACGTGAGAAAATATTCTGGCATGGACCCAGATGCCGCGGAACATCAGGCACTGTTAAAAGTACACTTTGTAACTAGGGCAGGGCCCGATATACAAAGAAAATTGCAGAAATTCAATGGATGGGCTGATAAGCCATTAAATGATCTATGTCAACAGAGATACTGAAAAGATGAAACAAAAGAATAAAATGATGATAAGCACTGTAAATTAAGTAGTTAGCAGAAAGGTTTCCCCTGCGGATAAACCAGAGAACCAACCAGATGTAAGACCAGGCAGAGGTAGGGTGGAGCGCAGAGGTGGAAGAACATCACTTGGAGGGACGGAGGACGGGGATTTACTAGAATACCAGAAACTCCCCGGCCTGAAAGGAAGCGCTACGGGTGTGGCCAGCCTGGACGCTTCTGGGAAGACTGTCCCTCAAAAAGACAAGAAATAGATAAGGAACAACAAGTGTACTCCTTGATCGAATTAGAAGATTAGGGAGGTTAGGGGCACCTGATAAAAGGATCCCACCGGGAGCCCTTGATAAATTTAAAAGTGGGATCCTTGGGAGAAGAGGTGGTATTTCTTGTGGATACAGGAGCGTCGAAAACCTCTCTTTCCTCTTTACCTCTTTACCTTTACCTTTACTGAACTCTCCAGAGAAAAGAGCAGAGTCTCGGGGGTAATGGGTGAAGTGTTTTATGTATCCCGAATTAAACCCACAACTTTGCAACTAGGAGAAGACCAAATTGAATTAGAAATGTTATATATTCCTGAAGCAGGAACCAACCTTTTGGGAAGGGACGCTATGGCCCTTCTTGGAATAAAAATAGAATTTGAAAAATCACTCAAGACCCTGGCTGATGCCCAAGACATTCTCCTCCTTACTGAAGAGGATGAAAAGGACATAGACCCAATAGTTGGGGTCAAAGAAGGCAATGGGAGGGATAAAACATTCTACCCCTAAAGGTGAAATTAAAGCATGAAGGAGAAGTAGTAAAGCAGAAACAATATGACATCTCCATAGAAGGGAAAAAGGGTTTGCAACCAATAATTGATGGGTTGTTGAAGGATGGGTTACTGGAACCCTCCATGTCACCATACAATACTCCAATTCTGCCAATGTGAAAACCAGATGGCACGTACAGGATGGTGCAAGATCTTAGATTGTTAAATTCTACAGTCAGGTCCAGAAATATTGGGACATCGACACAATTCTAACATCTTTGGCTCTCTACACCACCACAATGGATTTGGAATGAAACAAACACAATGTGTGTTAACTGCAGACTGTCAGCTTTAATTTGAGGGTATGTACATCCAACTCAGGTGAACGGTGTAGGAATTACAACAGTTTGCATATGTGCCTCCCACTTGTTAAGGGACCAAAAGTAATGGGACAATTGGCTTCTCAGCTGTTCCATGCATTTCACTTGCTGAAGACAACATGCATTTCACTTGCTGAAGACAACATGCATTTCACTTGCTGAAGACAACATGCATTTCACTTGCTGAAGACAACATGCATTTCACTTGCTGAAGACAACATGCATTTCACTTGCTGAAGACAACATGCATTTCACTTGCTGAAGACAACATGCATTTCACTTGCTGAAGACAACATGCATTTCACTTGCTGAAGACAACATGCATTTCACTTGCTGAAGACAACATGCATTTCACTTGCTGAAGACAACATGCATTTCACTTGCTGAAGACAACATGCATTTCACTTGCTGAAGACAACATGCATTTCACTTGCTGAAGACAACATGCATTTCACTTGCTGAAGACAACATGCATTTCACTTGCTGAAGACAACATGCATTTCACTTGCTGAAGACAAATTGTGGTGGTGTATAGAGCCAAAGATGTTAGAATTGTGTCGATGTCCCAATATTTCTGGACCTGACTGTATAGTCCAAGCCAGACCCACTGTGGTTCTAAATCCCTACACCCTTCTGAGACGTATTGCACCAGAACATCGATGGTTTAATGTAATTGATTTAAAGGACGCCTTTTGGTCCTGTCCGCTGGACAAGGCTTCAAGGGACTTGTTTGCCTTTGAATGGGAGAACCCATTTACAGGAAGAAAAATGCAGTACTGTTGGACTGTCCTTCCCCAAGGCTTCACAGAAGCCCCCAATCTATTTGGGCAAATGCTGGAGCAAGTCTTGGAAAACTTTACACCAGAACCAGGAACTAAATTACTTCAGTATGTAGATGATTTGTTCATCTCAGGTGAAAAGAAAACCAAGTTAAGTGATCAACCAACAATTTATTGAACTTCCTGGGGCAACAGGGTTTAAGAGTATCAAAGTCTAAATTACAGTATGTACAACAGGAGGTAAAATATCTGGGGCATTTGATTAGTGAAGGGAAACGACGGATTACTCCCTCCTGGATTGAGGGGATAGTAGTCCAACCCCTTCCTAAAAATGAAAAAAGAACTAAGAAAATTCCTTGGACTCACTGGATATTGTCGTTTGTGGCTCGAAGATTATGTCATAAGAACCAAACCCTTGTATGGTAAATTGATAGACTCCGAGCCTTGGGAACTGAACTGGAAGGCTGAAGGAAAAAAAAACACTTTGAGGAACTTAAAAAGGCTTTGTCTACTGCCCCTGTTTTGAGCCTGCCGGATTTAGAACGACCTTCCATCTGTTTGTCAACGTGGAGAATGGTGCAGCACAGGGGGTACTGGCTCAAAACTGGGCAGGGAGAAAGAAACCCGTGGCATTCTTGTCTAAAATTATGGACCAGGGGCTGGCCAGTACGTGTTCAAGCTGTGGATGCCACTGCTCTGCTGGTCCAGGAAAGTAAAAACTTAATCTTTTGCGGGGCCTTGGTAGTAAGCACCCCTCATCAAGTAAGAACGATTTTAAATCAAAGGGCAGGCAGATGGTTCACCAATTCCCGCATTTTGAAATATGAAGCTGTCTTAATGGAACAGCCTGATTTAGTATTAACCATAGATCACAACATAAACCCAGCTGAATTTCTGAGTCGTGACCGGGATGGGGCTGAACGACCCAAGCACAACTGCCTGGAATTAATAGATCTCCAATCTAAAATCCGACCTGATTTAAAGGATACACCCATGGGTAAAGCAATTTTGATGTATTGTTGAAGGCTTTCACGGCCGGAATACAGTGGCTGATGTGGGTCTTCCGGGCTGTGTGGCCGTGTTGTGGAAGTTTTGGTTCCTAACGTTTCGCCAGCATCTGTGACCGGCATCTTCAGAGGGCAGGAGCACAGACAGGAGCGGTTCTCTCTGTGCCCAGGATGAGGTGACCCTTTTGTGGGTATTTACAGAGATAAGCGAGGGTGCGTGCGGGGGGGCGTGTTGTGCATTAACGAGTGGCTGCTTGTTTTGGTGATCAATGTATGTGTGTATCTTCCTGGGGGCTAGGCAGGGTTTTTTGTGTTGAGTTGTTAACGAGTGGCTGCTGAGGCTGATTAGCATGTTCATTGTGTGCATTATTCACGCGTCCTGGTGGCTGAGCTGAGTTCGTTGACCTTTTGCAGGCTGCATTTTTCAGGATTGGTATTTTGTTGGGATTGGTTTTGTTGACTTTTAGACTTTCTTCTTTTTTATTGAAACTGTGCCGGTGTTTGTGAATTTCAGTGGCTTCCCGGTATAGCCTGGTATAGTGGCTGGTTTTTGGGAAAAACCAAAACCACTAGAGGCAGCTTTCTCTGCCTCTAAAAAGATCAATGCGGCTTGTTTCTTATTAAGTTGTTCCAAATATTCCAAAATGTCCAACACTAATTGTCTAACATTATCTTTCAGCTGTCTTTTAGGTAAAAAGGCACATTGATTCTCATGAATAAAAGTCATTTTTAACCCAAAAGCAAAAATGTCCCAGGCAGGCAAAATAAAAAGACAAGCCTCACTCCCTTTTTTGGTCCCTTTATTTTTGTTTGAGCCGCAGCATCGTATCTCCATGGCAACTGAGCATCACGGTCTGAGTCTTTACCTTACCTTTAGTTATACAAAATCCACCAATCACATGCAGTTTTAAAGACAGATAGCAAGCTTTCCCACGCTGGGTTGTTCTCTTTAACTGGCTTAGTGAAGAATTACATCAAAGCACTTGTGTCAAAAGTAAAAAAAGTAAAAGTAGAAAAATAAGAAAAAAAAGACTGTCCCCTTATCCATTCAAAACTTTCCTAGATCTCTTAATGAAGCTTTTTGCAAATCATTATTGGGTCTTTAAATCAAAGTCTCCCTTGTTTTTTTTTTTGTAATCTCAAAAGAAGGTTTAACTTACTGCGAGGAGTCTTATCTTTGCTGCAAAAGGAAATTTCTCTTTGTCTGTAATTCATTACTTCCAAAAGTGATCAAGAGATGGGGAAAGCAAGGCTGTAATGTCCTTATCAGCTCCGCCTCAGTTAGGAGTGTAGATGAAAATCCAGGGCTCCCGGCAGCTCGACTCCCAAACTAGCTGCAAAAACTTTTCCGTTTCTGCAGTTTAATCAGAAGGAACCACCATCTGGAACACACGTGGTCGATCTCTTGATCTCCTGTTGATCCAGGGAGATAAACACCGGCCAGAAACCGCCTCCCAGCCGATGTTCTCAGCAGAGGCGGCTCTCCGCGCTTTTGGCCAGCCCGCCATTCTTCCCCACCGGAAGCTCACATACTTATGTCATGTCCTTGGAGTCAACTCAGCCACAACACAGGCAGCTTCAGGCGCTCACCTGGACCCCGCGGCAATTCCTCCAAGGATCCCTGCATCCTGCCAAAGTGTGCAACTTGAGATCAAGCAGCCAGATGCTGAACTAACCAGCAGAGTTTAAGGAAAACTTGGCAACAGTTGTGCACGCTCCGCAGGGAGGGGATTTAAGCCTCACAGAAACCGCTTTCAATTCCTCGAAGTAACTTTGGCATCTGCTTCGCGTACCGTGGCTCTTGCTTAGAATCTAGTTATTTACGACCCTGGTTTTTAATGGACTGAGACCTCATCTCTCCCTCAGTTTGACATTGTAAATCTTCGGCTTAACTTTGGACTGCTTGATCTGGAATTCACCTTTGCCTTGTTAAGTGCTTATCTGCGATTAATATATAAATTGAATGAATGAATGAATAAATAAATAAATAACACCGACGTTTTTTAATGATCTTTTAGCTGCATTTATATGTAATTTCCCATATTGTTTTAAGTGTTCGATTGTTTTTATTGTTTTTAGCCGCCCAGAGTCACTGGTCTGAGATGGGTGGCTGTATAAATTGAATAAATAAATAAATGCTGCTTTCTTGCTTTTTGTCTTTTATTCCAGCAACTCCTGCTGCCTTGCTGTTGGAACTCACAGAAACAAGTCTTTCCCTTGACACGGTGTGTGTGCACAACCTGCGTCTGGCTCTCGAAGGTGTGCTAAGAAAGCCAGGACGTGAAAATTGCTGAATTTGATCACTTTCGGAAATTACTTGTTAACTGCTTTTTGGCTAGGAAAAGGAAGGAATCTTTGGAACGATGAGTCTGAAAGCACCAGGTGAGTTTCCTTCAGTCCTTAGTGAAAGAAATTTTAACTACAAGTTTGTGAGCAGGGACAAAGAAAAAATGAGAAAAAATCAAGTTCCAGGACTTTGTATTGTCAAAGGCTTTCATGGCCAGCATACGATGGCTGGTGTGGGTCTTCCGGGCTGTGTGGCCGTGTTCTGGAAGTTTTGGTTCC